TGGGGGGATGATCTCATCCTTTATCTCCACAGGAAAGCCCTATGTCAGTGGGTCACACAAGTCGATCGAACGGCTTGGCCGCTGCCAAGAGATGGGTAAGGAGCAGTAGAATGCCCCATGCGGGTTATTCTAACCCCGTCACGAATGACGAACCCGGATCCCACTCGAACATATCCGGTAAGAGCTCCCCAAACCCATCAATCGTGCCATCAAGGTAGGTCCTGCGCCAGCAGGTCGCCCTTAATTTACGCACGTTTTCTCTTATCAATTTCGCTATCGAGCCCTCGACCCTAGCAACAGTAAGGGGTCGGGCCTCACTCGGAGGCTGGCGAGAGTATCAATTCGCTAGACATTCTTTATGCCTGACCCCTTGTCATGTTAAAAGACTAGAAGCAAGGTGTGCGGAAACAAACTATGAGTAAAATTGGTAGGACTGCGAGAAACCTAAGCCTCGGCGGCTACGACGTCTTTGCTCACCAGCATGATCAGAGTTTTTGTCCCCGTACCCCGAGCTTTAGTCTCTGTCTTCTCGAGAAGGGTTTGGAGGGGCCCACCTACAGAATCTCCATCGAGGAGAGGCCAACAGGTCGCCCAAGTCGATCGAATGGCTCGAGCCGCTGCCAAGAGACGGATAGGGAGCAGTGGGATGCCCCATGCAGGTTATGTTGGCTCCGTCATGAACGATGGACCCGGACCCCACACGGACATATCCGGTAAGAGCTCCCCGAACCCGTCACTTGAGCCATCGAGGTAACTTTACCGACCCCCACTTTTCTTTTTCATTGCATGATCATTCATTCATCCATTCTCATGCATGCATTCATGCATGCATTCATACATTCATGCATGCATTCATACATTCATTCATACATTCATCTCATACATCCAAGCATTGCATATGCAATTATTGCATCACAACGCTTCGCGTTGCGTCACGAAGCGGTAGTCGTCTCATTCGACATGAGTGGCAACCGATCGAGGTTCGAAGGCCAGCCCATGGAGGGCTCGAGGCTACCTCGAGTCAAACAGAGCTAGGGTAGAAAAACAAAGATTAGCCCTAGCGGCCCTTGCCCGACCCTGCTCATAAGCGGACAGGGACATCTCGACCTTTCTCGTTCGATCCTAACCTCGAGCCAAGCTCATAGAATCTCCATCTACGAGAGGCCAGCGGGCCACCTGAGTCGGTCTCTGGAATGACTCGAGCATCTACTAGGAGGTGGGTTAAGGAGCAGTGGAATGCCACATGAGGGCTATGCCGACCCCGTCAGCGAATGACGGACCCGGATTCCACTCAAACATGCCCATTAGCGAGCTCGCCGAGCACGATACTTGAGCCATCGAGGCAAGTGTCGTTAGCTCAGCCCCTCCGGTTGCGAAAACCGCGGATGGGGTGACGCACGAAATTCGGATGACCCCTACTGAGCCCAATAGGGCTCGAGGGCTCGAGCCGCCCGACCCTAGCTCAGGAATCCAACTAATCGAGGCTCAAAGGCTGGCCCACAAAGAGCTCGAGGCCGCCTCACGTTGAACAGAGCTAGGGGAGAAAACGCAGATGAGCCCCAGCGGCCTTCGCCCGACCCGCTTAGAAGCGGACATGGTCATCTCAACCTTCTCGTTCGATCCTAACCTCGAGCCGAGCCCACAGAATCTCCATTGAGGGGAGGCCAGCGGGCCACCTGAATCGCTCTCCGAAGCGACACGGGCATCTTCCGGGAAGCGGATTAAGGAGCAGTGGAATGCCACATGAGGGCTATGCCGACCCCGTCATGAACAACGGACCCATATTCCACTCGAACATGCCCGTTAGCGAGCTCGCCAAGCATGTCACTCGAGCCATCGAGGCAAGTGATGTTAGCTCAACCCCTCCGGTTGCGAAAACCGCGGGCGGGGCGACGATCACAAAAACGAGGAAAGTTGGACTCGCCAGAAGACCGAACGCGCGGTCGCAGAACGACGGACTCCCAAAGGGGTCGAAATCAGGGAAGGATCTTTTTCGACCCACCAAACCTCACGGCTATACCCTCGAGGGGTCTGATCTCGATGAAAGGGAGTCACCGTCCCTAGGTCACGCCGTGGGCGACAAAAGAAGGCCAAGGCCATCAGAGTCCTCCCGCTCGGAAAAACATCCGAAGGAGTTTTCTACTCCTCCGTAGGCTCGGGGGCTACTGTCGGGGACCAATACTAGGGTACCCGAAGAGGAGGAGCTAATGACCATCAACATTGACTCATCTGAGCAGTCAAGAGCGCGACTACAGCTCCAACCGACCCCCGGCGCACAAGCTCCACTTTGCCCGGTCTCTGGGCGAGGGCACCGTCTCGCCCGACCTTTGGGTCTGTGCTCCACCTCGCCTGACCCTTGGGTCTACGCTCTGCCTCGCCAGTCCTCTGGGGGAGGACTCCACCTCGCCCGACCCCGAGGCCATGGGCTCCTCATCGCTCGACCCTCGGGTTTGCGCTCCACCTCGCCCGACCCTTGGGTCTGCACTTTGCCTTGCTCGACCCTTGGGTCTGCGCTCCGACCTTGCCCATCCTCTGGGGAAGGACTCCACCTCACCCGACCCCGAGGCCATGGGCTCCTCCTCGCCCGACCCTCAGGTTTGCACTTTGCCTCGCCCGACCCTTGGGTCTGCGCTCTACCTCGCCCGACTCTTGGGTCTGCGCTCTGCCTCGCCCGACCCTTGGGTCTACGCTCTGCCTCGCTCGACCCTGAGGCCACGGGCTCCACCTCGCTCGACCCTCGGGTTTGCGCTCTGCCTCGCCCGGCCTCTGGGGGAGGATTTTGCCTCGCCTAACCCTAAGGCCGCGGGCTTTGCCTCACCCGACGGAGACCCATACCGCTGCCAACCACTCTAGGTCCAAGCGTATGGGCCTGAGCCAGAGCTCTGACACTAGGGAAGAGATCGGCGCGCCCTGATGTAACCCGTCGCCATGACGGGCTATACCGGAGGATTCACATCAAGAATAGCGTCGGGCATACCGGTGTTATTCTGTCTAACCCTCGTACGAACACTGACAAGCACATCGGTTCACCACGATGTCCGCCAGGACGGAGTGGAGCACCATGACTAGCAGACGACGCCTACGCATGGCGCTAGTGATGGACAAGACCGCGACATGGCGCCATCCCTGTTGACATCTATAGTGTCGGCAGGACCCGCTTAAAGGATAAGAAGGACCCGACGGTCCTGAAGGCCGTCCTCTCCCTCTTGTTTCTTCTCTTTTCATCCACTGTAACCCGTGCTTTCCCTTAGTCAATAAAAGGGAAAGCGGGGGGACTTGAATCGAACCTCGAACCAACCAGATCACAACACATCACATCGATTCGGGCTAGATCCGATCGAACCATCACGAACCCATCGAACCTCGAACACACGGCTGAGTAGCAACCGAGCTCTCTCAGCACCCGTTCACTCCTTTCACCAGAGACTTGGGACATGTCCCTCTCTCGCCTATTTGTAACCCCTACTACGAACTTTCAATGCTAGTAACACGAGCAACAGCAACGAACTAGACGTAGATAGGGTTGAAAATGGTCGGGAACGGTCGGGAAAACACCGTAACCATTCCCGCTCCTGCATTATATGACCAGGAACGGTGGCGGGAACGGGAAAGCCAGACGGGAAAATGAATTCAATATTACGGGATATCGGGGCGAAATACTTGATCGAACGTCAAATTACGATCGAGATCACAAAAAAGCGAAACATCGATATACATGTAACCACTTAAAATCATTAGCTCAACGTAATAATTGCAACCATGCATTGAAGCATATACGGATGAAAGCAACACGTAATGAAGCAACCACACACGGTACATCACAGTTCCACGAGCAATGAGGCAACAATCACATAGCACACAAGTCACAACAGTACATCACGGTTCACAGTGTAAGGCAACCACACACGTGCAATGGTTCACTCGGCTCACTCACAAGACAAGAGACAATGAGACAACCCTCTTCCAACACTCAACTCACAAGTACAAGTCCAAATTAAAAATAAAACATGCCCACCGCCAAGTGCCAACAACAAAAAACACACAATAGATGAACATATCATAAGCAGACAACACTACATGTCAAAGAAACCCAGATCATCTCCATGTGGTCCATCTCCTTCGTCATCTCATCGACATCCATCGTCGTCCTAAAAAAATAGGAGGCATCGGTGTTGGAAAGAACTTTCATCTAGCCACGCCCATATTAACTAATATGCAAAATCATAGACAAGGGTGAAGCTCACCCTAAATATCCAATCAAGATATATGTAGGAAGCATATGTAACACATGCATGACACATAAAGTTCTTAAGTTTAATAGAATCTTTATTTTTAAGTTGCTTTAATTTTAAGGGTGTTAATTCACTTCTAGGTAAGTTTTTTTTGTTTTCATACTTACTTGATTTCTAAGTTGTGCTTATTTAGATTTCCCAAAAACTCCTAACAGTTTGTTTCTTACTTTGAACTTTTACCTGATTACCAACTCACACTTGAAGCTAACCTTCGTTCAGGTTGCTAATAGTCTATCAAGTGATGTATAAATACTAGAATTATTATCCTTTCCCTAGATTAGAACTCTAGAGTAAACACTAGTAGTCTAGTACACTACACAAATTGACCACTACAACAACAACATATATATAACAAACAATGTAGCCAAATGACTAGATAACTTAATTGACAATACCTCAATGTTCACTTTGAAACAAGGGCCTCAATAACTTCAAGATCACCAACAATAGAACCAATCTTCTTATCCGAAATTCAAAGTAAGCCAAGACTCATATATCGACAAATATGATTATGATAAAATATTGTACAATTAAAACTAAGATGCTTTTCTAACCTCTTCTTTCGCAAAGAACCCAATCTTTCATGCATATCAAAGCTTCAACCATTTCAGGGTCAAGGCGGCTACGAAAGGATCAACAACACGCCCCACCTTCCGCAAAAGGCGACTCGTTCCACAGTTGAGACTTGTACAGCTAGCAAATCACGAGCTATTTTTGAAAGAATAGGATACTCATCGGTCCGGTTCTTCCACCATGCCAAGATATCAAATTGACCACTTTGAGCCTCGAGGCGGATCTGCCATGTACTTGTCCAAATTTCTCATTCATATCATCAAGACCATGCCCACTAGACTCATACAAGAAGTTCTCTAGTTCATCATCTCCACTGTCCACTAACATGTCATCTGTATCCTTAGCATCATTTGATCCACTTTTAGGCCTTGAAGATGAAGGAGCAGCAGCAGCATAGAACTGGTACAATTTCTTCATGACATCAACAAGTTCATCAACATGAACTTGAGATGAGACGCCATGGAATTTTCTCATGTAGAACTCGATAAGCCTTTTCTTATATCTAGGATCTAGAAAGCAGGCAACAGCAAGTGTAGTGGATGATTTCTTCCAATATTTTTCAAACTTCCTACTCATAGAAGTAGCCATTGCACTAATAGTGATATCTTGACAAACAGACCATTCATCTAGTAAAATCTTTATCTCACAAAACCCTCTATATCTTGACAAACAGACCATTCCATCTGGTTGACACATCAAGTGAAAGACCCTTGTTTGTATCCAGCCCACACTCAGTTGCACGCTTCATGAGCTCCTCCCATTGCAATGGGGATCCCTTGACAGCAAGAACTAGTTGTCTAATATTCTCAATTGTGGGTGTGATTACACTCAAACCATCCCTAGCAACAAGGTTCAGTATGTGACAAGCACACCTCACATGGAAGAATAGTCCATCACATATCAAAGTCGTTGAACTAGCATTGGCCCTTAGATCAGAGATGATGTCTTTGACTGCTACTTCATTTGCTGATGCATTGTCCAAGGTCAGAGCAAACATTCTCTTGTCAATATACCACTTAACCATAAGTTCAAAAATGTCTCGAGAGAGCTTTGTACCAATGTGATGGCCCATGCAAAAAGTTCACAATCCTTTTACGGATATGCCAATTGTCATCTATCCAATGTACGATTACACACATGTATGACTTTGATTTGAAGTCCACATGTCCATGGTGGCACTAAACCGACAAGAGACAGATTTGAACATGCTATACAACCTCTCCTTTTCAGCTAAGAACATGTTCATAATTTCTTTTCTAATGGTAAATTAATCTATTGGAAAGGTAGGACGAGGGATTTGATGAAATCAACAAAATACTCATGCTCGAGATATATTAAATGAGTACTCATGCATGACTATTGCCAAGTAAAACTTTCTCAAGCTAGCCTCTTCATCATACCTGTTGGTACCACAAAATAGTCATTTCTTTCCCCCATCTTTTTTCCACTTTGAGTCTTAGTTAGGTTCACTATACTATGTGCCACCCTCGATGGGTCCAAAATCCAGTTGTTCCGTGTTGTTGCTCTCATCATCCCTTGTGATTGCATTTGGGCCAATCGCAATAAGCCCACATCTTATGTCTTGCCATTATCCTCAATGACCACTCTCTTCTTGGTAAAGTCTTGCCATACATTAGATGTGCACCTCTTATGCCTCTTTCCACAAGGTACATCTCCCTCTTGTGTCGCTCGCATCCAACGGCGCCTTGCGGCTAAGTTCCAAAGAAGAACAAAACCTCTATCACTTGCACCAAGAGCCCCTATGTCACTTGCAAGCAGCAAAGACACCTAGATCACTCGCACCAAGATTCACATATGTCACTTGCAATGGCAAACCCCAATCGCCACCACACCTTCTAGGCAGACCACAGAACCACCGCCACCACTACCCTGACCGAACTGACCCCAGCAGGCAACCTTGACTTGGACTAGATGGGCACTTGCGGATGATCTGAACAGATATACCAAGATCTTTACCACAATTACTAGGGCTTTCACTTGACCTCTTAGATCTTAAGACAAGAATAGAACACAACAATATGAATCTAAGACACCAAAGATGAATCAAAATGACCAAAGTAATTGGACCTTACTCAATTACTTTTACTCATGCATCCCGGGTTGCAATTGCAATATGAATCTAAAACATTCATTTGGGAATCAAAATGATAGTAGCAATCGGACCTTACTCAATTACTTTTACTCATGCATCGCCGTTTGATAGTTTCATCTAACACACAAGCAATAAAACACAAGGGGACAATATTCATATGTTAGTTTCATCCCTAACAACAAGCAATCCCATGTAGTGATTCACACATCTAACATCTTTGCCAATAAATGAAACATACACTAATTCACACATCTTTACCTACCATTGGAAAAGGCGGACGCTGTTCACCGACGGAGGTGGTTCCCGCCCCCCTGGCGGCGCTTGGAGGCGGATGAGGCACATCAACCTCTTTGCTCACTTGGTGGTGGCTTCATCTTGGCGTCCGGCCGCCTCCCTAGCCCCCAAGTCGTGGATCTGTTGTCGCCGCGCGGCCACCGGCCAAGGCACCAGGGGGGACCGAGGGAGGCGCCGCCAGCGCCGGAGCCCAGAGAGAGGAGAGCCGAGAGGCGCTTGAGAGTTGAGAGAGACCGAGAGTCGAGAGGGAGAGCCGGAGAGGAGGAATGCGAGGTGAGTTGCGGGGGCGGCGGCGGGGCGTCTTGGCGAGCGAGTTGAAAGACTTATGCAATGCGGCATGGCCGCGTGGGGTTCGGGGTTTGGGCGACGGACGTGGCGGCGCGACGTGGGTTGGGTGGGCCGGCGGGGTGAGTTGGGCCGTTTGTTCAGAGCCTTGAAAACAGGAATTTCTGCGGTAGTTTCCTGAACAAATACGGGATCCGCTAATTGGTCAGAAAATCACTCTAACCGATTTCGACACCGGATTCGGCCGTATTTTCTGGATTTCTTCCCGATTCCGCAGAAAGCGATATTCGGTCGGGATTTTCGGTATTCGGGTCGAGAGGTGGGAATTTCCGTTCCGTTTTCAACCATAGACGTAGAGACATCGAGTGTCCTCTAGCACACCATCCGAGGAGGAGAATATTAGAAATTTACTTGTCGGTGGTAACTCAAAACTTGAGATCATAAGGCAGCTTACCCCTATCATTGTGAACTACTAGTTGTTCACATTTTAGTTCTGAGTGACCCATAATCCCGCATGACAAACAGTAGTAAGGAAGTTTCTCATAGTGTATGTCAAACAATTCAGGGTTCCCGTCCTTTCTTGTCTTCAGAAGCACCCCTCTGCGTAGCGCCTTCGCCACCTCAATGGCAACACGTGCACGAAGATATGGGCCTTGGCCTCCCCATCTCTATCGACATCCATCTTCTTCACTTCACCGATCAAGCTCATGGCCCTTTCACCTCGATGTCGATTCATCCATCCCAGCGAAAGGTTCAGGATCCACACCTAAATGTCCATGCTGTCGAACCTAATCTCCAATGACCTAAGACGTTCGCCATAGTGCTGTAGGACCAAGGTGTGCTTTCCAACCATCCATGGCGAGCCGCCTAGCGCCCACTCCATGTCTTGTTGGTGACTGAACTCTACCACGAAAAGGTTATCTTCCTTCTCGCCAATAGTCCTCACCTTTAAACCGTACGAGTTAGGTTTCATCGCTGGAAGATCGTGGTGGCATGTACCGTCGCTGGTGAGAGAACTTTTCGACAAGGGTCCATTCCACAACCGAGACCTCCCCATCTTCCTCATTGTTGCTGAAAGCCACCATGTCCCCTTCTTCCGCAGTGAGGTTCAGGCTCTGCAGCATATCAGGGACGTTGTCGTCCAGGTTCACCGGTTTTCCACCTCCAATCGCAGCCATCGTTGCATATTGTTGGGGATCAAAGTAGGTATGCCACGCACAATAGGCGACATGCACAAATCAGGTCCCGACCTAGGGTTTCTAGCGGTGCTAAAACCCCTAAACGGGAAGTCTGTGGTCGACGGCGTCGGAACGGCTAACCGTCGATCTGCAGGTGGCCGGTTCCAACTAGGGTCGGCAGCGGGGCGTGGACACCGTGGCTGGGGTGGCCGTCGGCGTTGCCGATCTAGTTCACCGGAGGTCGACGACTAGATCGGGGTTGGGAGTGTGGTCGCCAGCCCGTGGTCTCTGCTAATTACGGAGCCCATATGGTTTGTGCGGCTGCACCTGAAGAAAGGCTTTGCCACTGCATCGGTAAATTTGAGATTAACCAGGTTTACAAGTTTGCACGGGGAATCTGGTTTTCTATTTTGCGAAGCTCATGTTTCAAACTTTCAATAGTGAATACTACCTCCGTCCCCAAAAAAAATGCAATTGTATAACAGTGTCACGTTTTAGTACATTAAGTTTGATCAATTATAGATAAAAAAGTACGAATGTTTATGATACCAAATAAATACCATCAAATTAATTATGAAATATATTTTTATAATAAATTAATTTAAAGATATAACCGTAAATATTAGTCACTGAAAACTTAGTCAAACATTAACAAGTTTTTTTTACACACAACCCATAGTTAGGTTCTCTTTCCGGACAGAGGTAGTAGGTGGTTTGCGTGGTGGTTGTTGTTTTTTTTTTTTTTTACAGTCCCGAGAGGCAAGAGCCCCCAATCGGTTACGTGTCGCTGCATCCTGCGGCGCCCGGCTAAGGCTGAATCCGGAGAACCAAGACCTAAATTATTTCCCGATCCTATTCCTCTCCCGGCCTCCCACCGGCGGCGACGAGTAACCTGACCGCCGACCCCAGCAGGCAATCATGGGAGGGCACGGCGGGCTGAACATCTTGCCGCAGAAGCGGTGGAACGTCTATAACTTCGACAACCGCGAGAAGGTTCAAAAAGACGAGGCCGCCGCCGCCCGGGAGGAGCAGCTCCAGCGCGAGGCGGAACGCCGCCGTGAGTCCGACCTCCGCCTCGCTGCGCTGCGCCGTAACCGCGGCCTGGTCCAGGCGGAATCGCCCGCCACTCCTCCACCTCACCCCGCCGGCCCCGCTTATCCGGTGGACGCCCTTCCTTCCCCGCCCCCGTCCTCGGACGGAGACCACATCAACCTCTTCTCGGGTGGATCCGGCGTCGCCGCTGACTTCGCCGCGCTTGCCTCGGCCAGTGGTGGGAGGGGCGCGGCCCGGGAGCGGGAGCCCGACGCCGACCCTAACCCTAAGAAGCGGAAGAAGAAGGAAGAGGAGGTGAGGGTTGTGGGGCCCGATGAGGAGAAGTACAGGCTGGGCTACGGCCTCGCCGGGAAGGGCGTGGCGGTGCCCTGGTACATGTCGAGCCCTGCAGCGGCTGCGGCCAAGGAGGGGAGGGGCAGAGATGCAGGGGAAGGTAACGGGGTGAAGAGGAGTGAAGGGAAGAAGAGCATCGAGGAGCTGAGGGAGGAGAGGAAGAAGAGGGAGGCCAAGGAGAAGGAGCGCGAGCGTGCTGTCCTGGTTGCTGCCGGAAGGAAGGAGAGACAGGCGGATCGGGGGCGCCCGTCAAGGTAGCGTCATGGTGGAAGATTTGTTCTGATGATCTAGTTTGCATTCTGGGCTTGTTTTTAGATGTATGATGGTTACTGTTTCTGTGTTCCTTCAATGCAGATGGGCACGGTGATGTAAGGATTTTCATGGTATAATGTCCAAGATTGCTAAGGATGTTTGTTGAATTAAGGTAAAGTATTGCAGTTCCTGATTAGTTGACATGAAACTAGTTTTGTTTTTGTGCATACTGAATGCTATTCTAATTTGAGTGACATAGATGGCTGATTGGTCATGACTGTCAACACGCTTTTGGTCGTTTTGATAGAACAATGAGTGTGTAAAGATGGGCTTGTGGCATGTGTACTTCAGATTTTATACTGTTAGTTTTTTTTTTTTTTGCTTGCTGCTCTAACAACTCCTGATCATGTTGGATGATGTTTGTGAAAAGTTGTGTTTGGTTCCTCTTTTATATGTGCTACTAGTTTGCTCCTGTCATACTGTTAGTTTTTGTTGTGATAATTAACCCATAATATTGTACAAGTGTTAATAACTAGGAAGATGCTATAGGCTCCAGGTTCCAGAACATAATATTGGTTCATGTTATATTGCCGAAAAGTGGACATTGCTATTGGTAGCTGATTGTGAACAGTTTTTTTTCTTCTAATTGATAGCTAGAAATTTCTATCTTGGGTTGGAATAGTTGGGTTGTGTCTATGTTCAGAATAATTGAGTATCTTATGCTTAAAACAAGATCTTCTCAATACTGTTCCTGTGTGGTTGGGGCTAGAACTTTACTCGACTTCCTTATGATGGTTTGCTTGCACTGAAGTTTTTGAGAACTTTGCTTGTACTTGAAATGTCGGCTGGATAACATTCTTTACATATATTCTAGTTGCTTGTTTTTTGAAAAAAATAATAATTGCTTACTCTTGGAGAGAATGTTCCCAAGTTTATTCGTTTATTCCTTGGAACAAAACATTCACGGAAGAATGGCTTATTCTTGTGACTGATCTTTCCCTTCCACAGTATAAGTCATTGAACCAGGCATGGCCTGACTACCTTACCAACTAGATGCAGATGCATGTGGCTGGAATAATTACGCCGTTCAGTTGCCAAGGAAAGGATACTTGTGAGCAGTCCAAGAGCATCTTTATCAGTAACAAGAAGATTGCATTCTTTGTTGGAAATCAATTTATTTGGATCTTCTTTGTGACATACTCCATGTCATGCACTGAGAATGAAATGAAGGCATGAAGCTAGCAGCACATGTAACACAGACGTTGTTTGCTTGTAATTGTAAAGCTATTTACTTGGTTTGCCATCTTTTTTAAATTTCTTCAATGCCAGATAACTTCAACTTCCTGAGTACTGTTAGGAGCATCCTGAAACATCTCCCTGAAAAGTTATTGCATGCTACGGGCATGATTGTTGTTTTGTGCATGGTTAGACACTGACTAAAAATGCAATCTGGCCACAATCAAGGTCGAGACTGATGGGTAACTTGTAGTTAACTGAGAAGTCTTCGTTAAGTGCTTAACCTGCTAGGTGATTGCCGTTAGAACTGAATTTTTCTGCTGAAGGCTTGCTGCTATTTGGATCATCTGCTGAACATTGTTGTTAGTATGAGAACTGGAGTCAGAGAACTAGAAATTACCTTTGGACTAGCACATGATGCATGCGGCGCCAATAGTTTGATGTTTGTATGATGTTTAGGTGCCACGGACGGTTTATAATTAGCACTCAAGAACAACCTCATCGATAGCAATAAGACTATTTTCATGTGTGTAATCTTCATCGTAGTTCCGAAACCTATACCGTCTAATGCACTAAGATTGTTGCGAGTTAGCAGCTCACGTATACAAATCTGGCTTGAAAAATTCTGAACTCTTATGAATGTCAGATAGCTGCAACCTGTGAAGCGTTCGTTCTACGTGCATCCTAAAAGTAATGTAAAAAGTGTGCAAGGAAGAACCAATCATGGTGAAGACTGAAGTGTCAAGACTGGACCACTACGGATCACTCTGCCACGTGACACGGTTAACCTGTTTCATTTTTATTTAGACTAATTGGAGTGGACCACTACGGATCACTCTGCCACGTGACACGGTTAACCTGTTTCATTTTTATTTAGACTAATTGGAGTGGACCAGCATATATGGTACTATTTAGAATCATTTGTTAACAACGTGGTCACATTCAAAAGTGGACCCAATCCAAAATTTTGGAGATAATAAATTTGTAGGGGATAGAAACAGAAATCAATCAACATAAGAACAATCACTTTTCCAGTGATTTAGTTAAAGTACACCATCTGGATCAAATTAGATGCTATTACCCCCTCTCCCGGTTCTGTCAATTTGACGGCTGCACTGTTGCACGGCTCTGTAGCATTGGCAGCTGACTGATGAATGTAAGAATCACACGATATATCACCTTTTATTTACCATAGTGATTACCCGATTAGACTATGGAATTCTCATTTCTTTATAATGTAACCTAGAACAATGCCAAGGAGCCCAAACGCTAATAAGAGAACCAACGAGAAGGCGCCTTGCTGTTTCCTGGCTTCGCACCTTACAAGTTCCTGCATGTCACAGCCACAGAAGCAACCATCTTTGAGTGAGTTCAACAAAATTCATGGCTGTTACACACAAAAAAACTCGACCGGGGGGTTAAGACAGCCCCCGCAGCATTTCAAATAAGAAGAAGGACCTTCCCACCCGGCCGAGAAAACCCCCGAACCCCCGCCCCCACCCTTACAAGGTGGCTTTCCGTCGCCCAAGTGAGAATTGGGCCGGTGCCCCCCCAGTGCTTTGGTTATGGGGATGGACGAGGGGATTTTTTTAACCTCAGCCTGAAATTCGCTCCCACGGGGAGTTGAACCCAAGACCTGAGGAGTTCCGCTGGGTCACCTAACCGTTTGAGCTAGGCGCCCTTTGGCATGGCTGTTACACATATCAGGAAATTCAGAATTTCCTACAACATTTCTTACACATGGACCGATTAAGGTGAAATGCTTATTTAAATTGTTGAGATGAAATCTGATCTAAAAATTCAGAAACTGTTAGCTCCTTAGCAGAGGATGTTGTTTTGATTACCAAAAATCAACTGGAATCCATCCTTAAGATGAATTAGCCCCATTACAACATGAATATTCACAAGTTAATTAGATTCAAAGATTGTTTTAGATAGAACTCAATCCGTAATACCCCAATAAGTGTTCAGTGCACATCAAGTCCAATAGTTAATCATCTAGAATGGTTCCTTGACTGTGTTCAAAGTCCAAATGTATGCTACTTTGGCCAGTAATAAAATATACATATTGATATATGGATGCCTGTCAATGAATTCCTTATTACCGAAGAAAAGTAACAGTTGTACACACTACTGTTGATTAATGTTTGTATACAGCTGCTTCTATGCAACCTGAAGCACCTTTAAAGGGACCTCCTAGGATTGACTATATTAAGAGGTTGAACAAGTATTCTTATGTGATATTCATCTTCAGCTTAATCAAAAGGAGAAAATTATGGTCAGGTACATCAGCCTACTAATTAAGGTGCCAATGGTTCACATGGTTTCAAGCAAATACTCACCAATTCTACTTGAAGCTTTCTGTTTTGCTCAAGTGCAGAATTCTTTTCTTCAGTCAGCTTTGCAATTATAGCTGAAAGCTGGAATGAGGAAAAGAAACAAGTGTACATTCACCTCAGAAACAACAATTACATGAGAAATGCTAAATGTATTACATTTACGTCAAGCAACTGATTCCTGGAAACAATCAATAGCCAAAGACTCAGAACACATTAAACTAAAAGATCATGTCACCAACTTCAATTATATGATTTGTATCAAATTACAAAGATTGTGAACACAATGAAAATAAAATGTCATTATGCTCACAACAAACAAACCTAATTATACTCAAACAAATTAGCTAGAGAACAACAGAAATATCGGTAAGTGGCAATGAAAAGTTTGCATGTAGATAGTCCAATATAAACAAAAAAAAATCTCACACACGTAGGAGGGCTGCATATCATTATGTTATGGAAGAAAAAAGAGGGGAAAAGAACCTCAATATAAACGAACTGAAATAGAATTTCTAAACCAAAGTTCCAAAACCTGCTATTCCATTTCTAGGCAATAAAATTCGAAGACTCATGAATGAATGAAGGGATAGAACTAGAAAGGACCTAAATGAGCATTCTAACTAGCCGAATGGAAAAGCTGTCAATATTCCAGAGTCTATGCAGAATACAAGCTTACCTGATGAGATTGTTCACCAGGTCCCGCATATGTTTTTGTTGCCTAGCATTTCACATGAGACATACAAATACAACCGACATTTTAATACCCATGGGTCATCGCACAAGATATAAAATGTAGAACAAAGAATATGCATATATTACATACCGTAGCAGGTCCTGCAGCCTTCAGGAACTCCTCACTCTTCACAATTCGACCAACAGGTGATCTGACCTCCTGAAAAGATATATGAAAATCGTCAATTATTTTTCTTAGAAACTTGCAAAAAAAAAGGAAAGAAAAATAAGACACAGCACGCTTGCTATCCCCACCTCAGCTGATCTCAATGACACGGAGCCACTCGATAGCTCTGAAGTACTCCTCCCATTATCCACAATCCTCTGCATGGGCACTAAAACTTTCTCTAAACCATCGTGCTCCTCTGCAATCTCTGATGGCGGTTCAGGTGGCATCACATAAGCAACCTTCAATTTCACCTCCCCCATCACATTACCCCCCTCTTTCATGAACTAAGAAGCAGGCACCAGATTACAAGTTTAGTACCAAACTGATAGCCATAAACCAAAAGGAAAAATGTATCGTACTACTACCATTTGAGAGGTTATGTCCTTGGCTGACAAGCCATCACTGACGACCACGCTCTGCACCAAGAACTTGTCCTTGCACTGCAAATCCGGAGGCACCACCTTCTGCGCCTGCATCGTGACTGCAGGAGCACAGAATGCGTAAAAACCCCAAAGTTCTCCACCAAAGTTGACAAAAGGAAAGGCTACTGTAAGCTGAGCCGTTTCTTGAACTCTGGCTGGTCGAAGTAACAGCAACACAGTACCTACAACCGTGCAAGAGGATCGGGGCGGCACGACA